GTTGCTCTGGCAATGTGCTGGCGTTTGGCTCGGTGCACTGTCTGGACCTGCTCCAAGCAGCCGTGCTAGCTCTCCTACTCTTGCTATTATTATAGCAGCAGCGGGAAAGTCCAGGGTAGACCAGTGCAGATGCAGCCTTATAGCTGTGTCCCTTGCAGATATTTGGTGTCATTTTGCACCGGGGAAGGCCAGTTTAGCAGCTCTCTCACCCCATTAGCCACCAACAATACAGGTGCTTTTGTAGCAGTGTTTCAGGGGTGTATTTCGTAGCCGTGTTGGTCTGAGACAAAAAGAAATGCAAAAATCTAGGACTTTTTTTGCAGTTTCTCAGTTGGTCTAATAAGACGTATCATCTCTGAACCCAAGAGTTCTTGGTTTTTGCATTTCTTTTTGTAGGAGTGTCATTCTTAGACCACATATGAAGTATTGTGAATGCTTTGTGGGCTGCTATGGGCAGAGTCTGGGCAGATCACAGCAGGGTATGTTTGGTCACACTAGTCGAGCTGACCAGTTTTACTTTTGCTGCTGGCTTTCGCTAAGGACCCACTGTTCACAGCCCTTGCCTCTGCTACAGTCAGGCAAATAGATAAATAGACCTGTGCGAAGCGGCTAGTATCACTTTGGATTCAGATTCAGCCCTTTCGGGGGACAGTGATTCGAATCACTGTCCCGATTCGATTCAGCCGAATCTCCGAATCAGCCAGGCCAGGCCCATCCCCTGCTCCCCTCCTAGTCCGGCAATAGCTGCCCCAGTTCCCGGCTCTTTAGAAAAAAAAAAAGCCCGGATCACCAGGTGCTGCCTGGCAGGGGTTAATCCCTGCTGCCCCGCACTGCATGGGGGACTCTGCCACGAGCACCGGGGACTGCCCGAATCATCAGAGCTCTCCGAGTCTTTTTCGAAGGTTCGGAGAGCTTTGAATCGATTTGGACCTTTAAATTGGTCCCGATTCAATTTGGATTCGGAGATTCGACCACCGAATTGGGTCAAATTGAGTCACCACCCGAAGCTTCGCACAGCCCTAGTAGATAATACTGGGAGGCCACCCAGGCTTGGTAGCGATGCAAAACAAACAAAAGAAGTTAAACAAATAAGTTAGCACTTAGCCATCTTCCAGTGGTTCTTCCAGGCTTCACCTCCTGGTTTCATCTTATCTTTCAGAGGCCATTTGCAGAGCCTGCAAGAAAGTAAATGATCAAGCAAACAAACAGAGAGAGAAAAGCCCTGCTCCAGGTTCTCCTGGTGGCTTTTTAACCCCTGGTGGCTCCAGGCGGTCTGTTCCTTGGCCAGATGCAGCCCCTTGGGGCTGCTTTCAGTGTCTTTTATCATTCCCACTCTGGGCTTTAGGTGGCTAATCCTCTCTCACTCCCCACACCAGTGTCAGCTCCCTTGCTGCGGGACTCACTACGTTCCCCAGCCTCCCAGGTCTGGGCTGTGTATGCAGAGATGCTTCTGGGGTGTGGGGCTGACCCCACACCCCAGAAGACCCCCAGACCCCCTCGAGTCCCTTGTAACAGGGCAGGGCCCTGTTCCATACTTGTGGATACCTCTCTTCACCTTCACAATCTTGAAGCCCACTAATGAGCAGTTGTGTAACATCTCTGTAGCAATTGTTGCCTTGGGAAAGTGGTGGTTTAATGTATGGTATTTATGGTTGCCTTAATCCAATAGATGTGCTGGGAACACAGAAGAGGAGCTACCACTGTAAAATGATTAGCTAGGTCCACACAACAACCAACAGCAAATGCTGCCCAGGCAGACACTGATTGGGTCTAGGGAGTCTTTTGACTCTAGTGATGGGATGGATCTGTGACTGGCTGTGATGGGGAGAGGTACATGCATCTGTGAATGACTGAGAGGGGGAAGAAAGGAGTCATCAAAGATGCCAGGAAATGGGTTTGAAAATACTAGATCCGACAGCGATAGAAGTAATACAGAGTCCAGGAAGTGGTATTGGCCATCAGGAAGTTATTTAGGCCCCAGCTGTAATGCAACATAAGGGGTTTGCAAGAACAGTGCAGTTCTTCCTGGACATGGCTGAAGCATGTCCAGTGCAGACGGGGAAGGAACGGCGCTACGACCCAACTCCAGCATTCAGGATGTATGCGACAGTCCTGTTTGGTCTCTCTTTCATTGAACTTGGTCATAGCCATGTCAGCACGGTGCAGTACTGAGATTGCAAGCACACTGGATTTGACTCTCCAGTGCCCTGACCCTGAGCAGTCACTCACCTCAGTGCAGGAAGGGTGCAGAAGGCTCCCAGATCCCTGTGGTCCTATTTGCACCCATTCAGCATTGGCAGAAAGGACAACATGGATTGAGGAGAAGACGATCCACTGACTGGTACAGTGCAGGTAGGATCTTTGACCTCTGGAAAACAGTCCTCCAAAACAGCAGCCTGCACATGAGCTGAGAACTAAGGACAGGCCTACATTAGGAAATGCTTTCTCTGCTACCAATCCTACTAGAATACGCACAGCTTATTCCAGCAGCAAGTGCTTTCACCAGCATAGCTCATAATGGTTCCCTGAGGGGAGTAAACCCTAGCAGGAAAAGCACATACATGCCAATTTAACCATTGGGACTTTGGCTACTGTAGAAAAATTGTAGAAAAATAATGTCCCTAGTTGACATGGCTGTACCAGCGAAGTTTTTTTATGGTAGAACAGGACACCAATGGAACTGTAAACTCTATCAAAAATAGGTGGTTTATTATTAGTATTTCGACAAATGAAAGATGTCCCAGTGGTAAACAGCACTGCTGCTTTTAAGCAATGTTTTTTGTAACCCCACAACAGCAGGAAACGTCACATTTTAGCTTCCTTTATTTGTTCAATGCACCCGGTCTTCCTTTTCTCTGCACTTCTTCCCTCTCCTTTCCCTTCCTGCCCCTGCCGCAGGAGGTCAGAAGTGATGAGCTAAATGCAGCCCTCTTGCCAAAGGCTGTCACACACAGCACAGGTAACAGCAGCAGGTTACATCAACACAGCCAACGTCAGATGAAAGGAGAGGGGAGAAAGGACCTAAAAGTAGGTCTGTTTGTGTGACAGAGCTGATGGCATCCATAGCTGCCATCACTTCTCTGCCCCTTGTCCTGGCAAGTTCTGACCTGTTGGAAAAGGCTTAGTTTGAACCATCAGTGCTAAGCTGTTGAGAGGCCTCAGCCCAGGCCCAGGTCCCCTCCTGACCCCAGTGCCCTGCTAACCCTGGCAGAGGTGGATCCTCTGACAATTCACCCTCTTTTCAGCAGGCCCTCACTGCTCCAGCTCCTCAGGAATCTCCTTGGTCTCAGGAAGAGCACACTGGAGGGCCAAGGAGCCAGTGCTGGGGTGAAACCAATGGGAAACATCAAGGACCAAGATGCAGACAACCCAGCAGATCCAGCAGCAGCTGAGTCTGAGCCCATCCTGCTATCAGGCAAACAGCTAACAGGCAACCCCCTGGCTGATGAACCTCAAAAAAACACACTGGAGGAGTTTGTGGAGGAGATCAAGGAAGAACTGAAGGAAATCAGTCTTGGAGGCGCCTCTCTGATCAGGGGCATGGAGATGGGAGACTCTCCAGGCTTTGCCAACATCCCTGTGAGTAAGGAAGGCAGAATGGCACAGGAGCTAGATGGCAAAACCTCTGGCCAGGAAGTGAAGTTCATGGAAGAAGCTTCTGGGGACACAGGATCTTTGAGAAAGTAAGTTGATTGGTAGACCTGGACCAGCTTCAGATCTCACAGCAATCATCAGCCAACCCCTCCTTATTTCAGTGAGATCAGCACTGGGCCTTTGGCTGGTGAGGAGGGTCCTGAGATGTGTGATGGTGAATAGGAAATAATTGTGTGAGGCCAGGTAGGCAACTAGAAACCAGTGAGATATTGGACAGCTGGGTTTTTTCCCCAAAAAGCAGCAAGGTTGAGCATTATGAAAGATAACAGGCCATTTCATTTAGCACTTGGTCACATTGATATGAGCCCATGAATTTCTGTTAAGTCAGTCCCTCTCACCAGCTGCCATAGACTTTCACATCCAGCCCTGGCCAACCAGACTACAAAAACATACTGGTCTTCACCAGGACCAGTGCTCTAAGCAAAAGGGCCAGATTCTGCTCCCAGTTCACACCAGTAAGTCTGCTGTAATTCTACCAAAATCCAGGTGTTCCTTTGTACCCTAGTGTCTGTGAGAGAGCTGCACTGTGTGTCCCTCCTGACCGTGACCTCTGTAGGTCAAGGTTGCCAACAATGAGGACACTTGGTGTCAGCTGTAGTGTCTACTCTGAGTTGGCCAGAGAGCTTGTTCCTTTGTTTGGAGGCCACAGAGATGTGAGTCCCTCTGTTCCTCCCACGTATTGACATCCTACTGTACATAACTGTGCTTTGGGGTCAGGGCCAGGGTCCCCCAGGTTCTGCTGGCCGACACTGACGGGCTTGCATCAGCTGCAGGAGACCTGCCAACACCCGTGGAGGACTTCAGTGCTGAGGACGAGAGAGAGCGCCTGCTCAAAGGTGAGGGTCATGTACTCTGCTAATTGGGAGAGGCTTCTGACTATGTGTCTGCATAAAGACTGGCTAATATAATAAACCCTTATCACCCCAAGACACAAGCACCTTTAATACTGTTGTCCTGCTAGGTAATTTAACACGCTGTCATCTGTTTAAATACACAAGGGGAAATTGTCTGCTGGGGTAACTCCATTCACTCCCCTGGAGGTACACCAGCAGAGGAGGGCTAGGGCTTGGCCCAGGGTGGCAGGAACTTGCTCACATGCTGTACATGAGGCGCATGTTATCATTCCATATAGGGCAGCATAAAGGATGTAGGAGATGGCCTTCAAAGGATTTGCTCCTTAATTTGGGATCTTTTTCAACAGAGGATCTTCATGGAGAATCTCCCAAGGAAGAGCTGTCTCCCTGGAACAAGCTCATCAGCATGTACAAGCAGCAGTGGAAGCTTCCTGTTCCCAAGGTGGGTTACACGTGATACACGATTGCACGTGAATCGTAGGGCTGGATGGGACTTCAAGGGTCATCTCGTCTGGCTCCCTCCATGAATGTGCAATGCTGCTCCTAAATCATCCTTAAGCAGTGCTTACCCACCTGCTTTTTGAAAATCTCCAAGACGCTTGTATGTCACAAACTGGATTAAGCACATCCCTCGTGAGAAAAGGGACTGTCAGTAGCATGGTGTGGGCTTCTCCTGTCACTCATCCTGGTCAAAGCGCTGCCCAGAACTTCCCATTCCAAGGTTTTTACCCTGTTGGAAGCTGTGGGGCTCTGGGGACATCCCTGCAGGCCTCTGCAGCTTCTTCTACTGGAACTAGAGATTAGCAGTAGACTCTGCTGAGCTCTACACAGGGTGCTGCACTTAGGGGCATACTGGTTAAGTGCATAACCCAACACCAACCCCAACTTGTTGCCTACTGTAACCAACTCTGGTTCTTCCCCTATCATAGTGCACAACCACTTAATTGCTGTGCATAATGCAGATCCACTGTCTGGTTTGTAACTTAATAGCACCCCCTAACTGCCTGCTAATTGTACTGGCCACTTTATACTCTGTAATTAAATGTATCCCTTTTCACTGCCCCATGAATGGCAATGGGAGAGGGGCTGTCAAAGGGCTGCTACAAAGAGCCTTGAAAATGCAGGGAGCTAGCCAGATTCAGGGATGCTAATACCACAGCCCTGAAGCAGCGAAGGGAGTGATTGAGCACCGTTTTGCAGGGCTGTCCGGGGGGTTAACAGCACCACAACTGACCCAGACCCTTCATTTTCAGGGCTGCTAATAGTCAATGTCCCAGCTTACTATTAACAAGCAAGGCCCCATTTCTACTGTAATGGGTTTTGCACCAAGTTATCCCCTTCAGGACATGATCCCTTGGCTAGCTGCAGGCAGCAGGGAGGGAGTGATGGGCACTGTTTTAAAAACAATGCTGGAATCATGTCTGAGGCCATTTAAAAAAAGTTTTCAACTAATTTCCCCTCTCTAGTCTGCCACACCCTCATACAGGATGTGAAGCTGCTTGCATAGGGGAGACAGGCCCAGCAAGCGGTTAGAACATGGTTGACCTGACTTCTTTTTGTCACCTATTCCATGTGACTTTGAGCAAGCCATTCTCCTCAGCTGTGCCTCAGTTTCCCCACTTGTAATGGGATTAGAGCATGTGCAGCTTGCCAAAACCCTTTGAGCTCCTTGGAAGGGAATTGCAGTCCAGAAGGGCAATGGATTTTCAAGATCAGCGCCTGGAAATGGTTTCTTGGCATTCTCCAAGTTGGAGGACAGAGCGCATCTTGACGTGAGTCCGTTTTCTCTCTTCTTGTCTCATCTTTCATTTCCCTGCAATTTTACCTCCAGGAAAACCCACTGGAGTGGAAAAAAGAAGAGGGCTCCCCTGTAAATCTAACCGCTTATGGTTTTGCGACACCCATGCCTCACCACATCTCTGCAGAGTCCTTTGGCACTACTGTCATCTGTAGGTGAGATCTCCTGCTCTCTTCTGGAAGGGAAGCAAGTTTAATATTCACCTCCATTCCCCAAGCCCAGATTGGACACATTCTGAAATCTGTTTAGTTCCACCCACCTCGGCAGGTCAATGTGAACTATATTTAAGAATTCTGTTGGGCCACATGATGTGGATTTTGGCTGTGGTCCAGCGACCGTGGGGAATTGGAAGGCAAGGGCTGGTTATACTCAGTCTGCAGTGCCAGTCTACCCTGCCTTATACTCACTCTAATCACTAGGTGGGGCTGCTGGACTTAAAATGAAGTACAAGTGGATACCTTCAGTACCAAGGAGTAGTACAGGCTGGCAGAGGGCAGCTTTTCTTCATGTGCCTTATGAAATAAATTATGCAAATACCCCAGTGTTTAAAACTGCAGGGGACACGCCAGCATAAATACAGTACCAAACACTGTGTGGTGATGGCCTGGCTGGCTGCGTGCTGCTACTGCTGGAAATGTCTGGGCAACAGAGCTAAAATTCACTTTGGGTTTCATTCTCCACAGTTGTTCAAGTGAAAGGAGAATCTCGAATTGAGCAGCTGAGGTCCTGGCACTCAGCTGAGCAGTCTCTGCTCTACCCTGTAGGGAGCACTGCTGTGTCCAGGCCCACATCTTCCATGTAGGTCTACAAAGAACGTGACTTGATTGTTTCTCTAAGCAGCACACAAGTGACTAAGTGAAAGCTCCTCCAAGGCTTCCCTTATTACTCTGAGCTATTATAAAAATCCTAATCACTGACAACAGGTACCACATTAGCCAAGAACTCACATATTAGGGCTGGACCTATCTCTCTTTCGCTCTATTTGTACAGCACCTAGCACGTGGGTTCCTGGTCCCTGAGTGGAGTTTCTAGCACAACTGCAATACAAACAATAAGCAAGACAGCCTGTGCCTGGCCAGGTTGTATTATTAGCATTCTCCTCTAGGGGGCAGTTTCAGTCAGAGCACCAGTCTGCCCTGCAAAGTGGACTCTGATTAAGAATTAGGCGCATCTACACATGCACATTTAATGCACATTAGCCAGATTTAAGGCATATTACGGACACTCGTCTAGATGTGTACACCCTTCATGCACCTTAAAAACGGCAATTTAAGGCTATTCAAGCCTAAATTTGATACCTGCATAGGGCAGGTATCAAATTTATGTGAGAATAGCTAAGTCGCATTAGCAAATGTGTAGACATGTTAATGTTCATTAACATAGTGCGTGCCCATTGACTTGGGACCCAAGTTGATCCACACGCCACATTAATGTGCACTACTGCATCTACATGTTTGCTAATGTCATTTAGCTCTTCACACATAAATTTGATACCTGCTTTATGCGCGGGCATGTAGACACGTGCTGAAATCACCTTAATGCGCATTACGCAAATGCACATTACATTTAGGCGTGTGTAAAAGCACATGTAGATATGCCCATAGAATCACAGAAAATGAGGGTTGAAGGGACCTCAGGAGGTCACATCTAGTCCAACCCCCTGCTCAAAGCAGGACTGGCCCCAGTTAGATCCTTCCATCCAGGGCTTTGTCAAGCCGGGCCTTAAAAACCTCCAAGGATGGAGAGTCCACCACCTCTCTAGGTAACCTGTTCCAGTGCTTCATCACCCTCCTAGTAAGAAAGTTTTTCCTAATATCCAGCCTAAACCCCTCTTGCTCCAGCTTGAGCCCATTTCTCCTTGTCCTGTCATCTGTCACCACTGAGAACAGTCCAGCTCCATCCTCTTTGCAACCCCCCTGCAGGGAACTGAAAACTGCTATCAAATCCTCACTCAGTCTTCTCTTCTCCAAACTAAATAAACTCAATTCCCTCAGCCTCTCCTCGTAAGTCCCCAGCCTCCAAACCATTTTTGTTGCCCTCCGCTGTACTTTCTCCAACTTGTCTACATCCTTTCTGTAGTGGGGGGCCCAAAACTGGACACTACTCCAGATGTGGCCTCACCAGTGCAGAGGGAGGATGCAGGAGGTAAAGTAGACTGCAGCTTTCTCTCCTCTGGCTGGAGTGGCTGTACAACAGCAAACAGTCATTTGCATTAGGCAAGCCACATGCCCTGACTTGCAGATCTGCAGGGAGCTGACAGATTTCTGAAGAAGGGGCCATTTTTAGAACCAGCAATAGGATGAGCTATAAAAGCAAGCCAGGTGCTGGATTCCTACACAGATGTTCAAACACCCACCCTGGCCCCATGGACATCTTTGGCTGTCTAAGCAGAGGGGTGGGTGTCTCTCTGCTGAGGTTCTTGCTGCTGTGCAGTGTCGAGGCTCCAGTGTGGCACTTCTCGTGGGCACTAAGCTCACCTGCTCAGTGTAAAGAACCAACAGATCCAGGCCACTTTCCTGTAATAGCTGCTAGACCTTGCTCAACATTAATCAAGCAGACTGTTCGCCCATGTCCAAAAGCCAACTTGTGCTTTTCAGAAGTTGGAAAAGCAGTCAAGCTGTCACAGGCTTAAAACAAAAGAAATACACTTTCTGTTACTCCATTGTATGATCAAGGGGGAAGGAAGGAGTTTTGGCTTCTCCATGCAGCTATTGTGTGGATGATGCAGGTTGCATAGTCCAAGTGTCTTCACCTCTGGAATAAGAACTCGTGGTAGAGGTGATATCTTTTATTAGACCAACTAGATTTTTGCAAAAAAACATTCTTGAATTGCAAGCTTTCAGGCACAAGCACCCTTCTTCAGGCCCAGGACCTCCATAGCACCTCTGGAAGCACTTCAGAGACTCTGAACAACTGGGGATGGAGAAGGCTGTGTCACGGACCCATACCCACCTGCTTTCTCCATAGCTGCCTGTTCAGGATGACTCCTTCCAGTCACTTGCAGTGTCCCAAATCCTGGGGCCCCCACCACCTTCCCTGAGGAAATGAATCCAGTATCTACCAGATTTTCCTCCTAACCAAGCAGAAGCAAACCTCATGAACCTCATGGGCTGAGAAAGCTAAAATCTGGGGACTATGTTGAACGGAGCCTGGACTCCTGCAGATCCCTAGACAGGCTCCTCAGTGTACTGAGGGAGAGGCCTTCCAGCCAGTAATTAAAAAATTCTTTTTTGGCAAACTGCCCCTTGGTCCCGGCAGGTCCATGTGAATCAGGCACATTCTCTGACTGCCCCTTGGCTATGGGATGCCCTGACCTCAGTCTTAGTACAGCAGTGTTGTGTGTACTAAGAAGCTGGGGCCTGGGAACGATGCACAGCTTGACTAGCACAAGGATGGCTCTCACCCCAGAATTGTTTCTGCTTTTGCTCCCTGACAAGGTTATAAGGCCTGAAGGCCTAGAATAGGATTGAGGAGCTCGCCATCACACAGCAGAATGGAAACATATGCAAAGATGCAATGGGCCCAATTCTGCTCTGTTACATCCATATGAATCCATGGTAACTTCAACACTGCGGGGACTGTGGCTCCCCTATGCTCCAGAGGAGAATTTGACTCTGTGCCTCTTCTATTCAGCAGCTCTCAGATTTATTTTCATTCCTAGATGTGGCCTGTGCTAATGGCTGGAACCAGGACACCTGCCTCCTGTTCCCAGCTCTGCTCATCTAGGAGCTGGGGCTTGTGAGGTTTCATTCACTAACTGTGTGGGTGACACTAGACAAAGGCATAGTGTTACTCCTGTTGTCACTAGGGTTTGTGGGGTGAATTCCAGCGATGGTCTTTTCTGATGCACTTATTTTTCCAATCGAGGCTTCCCAGAGACAGAGCGGAGGAGACCATTGATCGCTGTGGGAGAACCGAGGTTGACCTGAAAGCAAATGGACCAGGAGCTCCTGAAGAAGGCTGAGGTCAGTCTGGAACAGAAAGGCCCTGGGTGATTGAATTACCCCCTGCATGTGCAGTATGCTCTGCACATTCATTCCTGCCTCTCTGCCCCTGGGTTGTCTGTCAGCCTCTCGGACACAGGCATAAAGCACCCCTTTGCATGGGATTTTTGAGTGTTCAGAATCAACAAGGCACGTGTGCGCAGCGTTAGCACAGGGCATGTGGAGGGATGAATGCTGGCTTGTATTCTTGCCTCTGCCACTGATTCACTGCATAACCTTGGGCAAGTCGCTTAAGTTGAGACCTTTACAAAAGGAGATCATAAGCAGGCACCTAAATACACGGCCTGGTTTTCAGCAGTGCTGAACACCCGGCCAGTCCCACTGGAACACAGCATTTGTGAAAATCAGGCCATTTAAATAGGTAGCTAAACACTGGATTTAGTAGCTTAACTTTAGGCCCCCAGGATTGGAAATCCTGATCATAACCTGCCCCCTGGCACCATTCTCCCGTCTCTGCAGTGGAAGCTGTCACAATTGTGTGGCAGGGGTTAGCAGAACATTTCATAGCACGGTTTGAAATCCGTGGCTGGTACAAAGTTCAGAGTATGCGACCATCATTGGCTACAAGAACGACCAATCACCACGGGGAGGAAGTGCAATGAGTTTTCAAACTCGGGGCTGTAAAGGCAACCTTGTCCCTGGATCCTGGTTAATGATCATTCCCCTCACCCGAGTTCAGGAGCCCAGGGCAGCTCTATATCACCTGGCAGCCATCCAGCCAGCGGGGTGGCTGAAAGGAAGGAAAAAGCTGTTACTTCTCTTCCACATGCAGGAAAAGCATGTCTGGAACGTAGCAAGGAGAAGTGCCATGGGGCGTGTGCCAAGCCTGCTGCCCACCATGTGTGTGTGGGTTTGGGTGTACGTGTGCGTGTGCACGGTGCCCCTGTGATTTTTCAGTGGGTTTTGATTTGTTGCTTGTTCAAAGACTAGTTGTTTGCCTTTTCTTCTGTGGCTGCAATGGGGGAAGGGAAGCTTCCAAATGTCATTATAAAAGCCTAATGTGGAGGCAGCCGCTTTATTTTGAATAATCAACAATGACTTTGAGGCTTCCCCCACCCCACTCAACTCTCTTGCATGATTCACTGCATGATGTGCAGGCAACAGTAGTTTGCTTTGGAGCATTTAATGCTGAGATTGATGAGAGCTCCTTCTCCCCCTTCCTCCTTTCAGTCAGTTGGTGCTCTTCCCCCACCCTGCACTCTCTGAATTATGCTCTGGGTATGTGGGGAGAACTGACCCTAACACTGTACACAGCCGAGATGCTTTGAAGGCTCTGTAAACAGATAAACAGTAGATAAATATGATCCTCATTTGCAAATGGTAAGGTGAGACAGAGAGGCCCACGGGCACATGATCAGAGTGCTTGGAAAAGATCAGTCTTTAGCAACACATTGAATCAGTGGGGCTAGAACCCAGGAGTCCCAATGCATCTGCTGTGGTGCATTAAAAAACCCAAGCCATGAGAAACCACAGACATGCGTGCCAAGCACACCCATGGGAGCTGAATCCTGAGGCCCTGTCAGTAATCACAAAACCAACCCCCATTTTTCAGCCTTGGTGCAGCTGTACGGCCATAAGCCCTAGTGTAGGCAGGGCTCTGCACCTTTTTATGGCAAGTCCTTCAAAGCCTGGTGGCGGAAGCAGCCGAGTCCTGTTTCTTCTGGCACTTGCACCATTGCTAACAGCAGCTTGTAAAGTGAAATAACAGCTGCCGAAGAGAAATGAAGAGGCACAGGGGAGGCTGAGATCTGAAATGAGCAGGGGGCAGAGATACCTATGGCACACTGGTGCAGGTGGCAGGCACTGCAGAGGAGTAAGTTCTTGCACCTGTAATGGTGGGATCCTGGGAATGGGCTGCTCAGGTCACTCCTGAGTGAGAAAGTAGGAAGGGAAGAGAGATCAGGGTCAGAGCTTACTAGGGCTTGAAGGCCCCATTATGACCAACTGCCCTGACCTCCTGCAGACCCAGCCAGGAAACTTGAGCGGGCAGGGAGATTGCCCATGTGAGACTGGCCCTCAGAAGAGCAGCCTGGCATGCAAGCTGTCAGTGGGACTTGGGGGCAGACTTAGATGGTGGCCAGCAGTGTGATTGGCTAACACACTCTTTTTCTGCCCTGGCTAGAGTGTGCTCCTCAAACCGACCGGAGAGCGGCCCCAAGACCAAGCTGCATCAATTCGTTTGAGCTGCAACCCCTTATCCACCAGGGGAAAGAAAACTGAGACCTTTTCTTTGGCCCCAACAGGCTGCTGTCTGGAACGAGGACTGTTCCAAAAAGCCCTTTAACTTCACTCTTCTTCCTGTTTCCTCCTTTATGTCTTTTTAAAGGGCCCCAGGATGTACCCCCTGCCTTCCCTACCCACTCCCACTACAACCCTTCCCATCCCTAACCAGCTTGGCTTTTCTTTAGAGTAGGTGCTTTACATTAATTGATTGTTCCCATGTTTCCCTGTAGGACTCCTTTCCCTGCTAAAGGAATTCTACGTTCAATTCATTTCCCTCTTTATTTACCCGTCTTTATTTATCAGCTCTTCCCAATTTCCACATTCAGGAACACCATGTAAAAAACTGCAGGGGTGTAACTTGGAGGGTAAGAATAAACATTTGCCCTGAGAAATCCTTGCTTCTTGTTGAGTGAGCAGGGGCTGATTTGAAGGGAAGACTCTCACTGGAAGGTGGGAGAAGGGGCACCCTCTGTTTGCTTTAGAGATTGGCCCCCATTCTAGGTCTCCCTCCCCTTTTCTGCGTAGATCAGGGGAAAGAGAAGAGAGGTGGCTCATCCCTTTGTTGGCTCTCAGGAGCTCTTGGCATCCCACCCCTCTTGCTATGGCAGTACCAGGCCTCCCTCCCCCTGTGTGGTGTCCATGCTCCTTCAGCCTTATGTCACCAGAGCCATGGAGAAGCCTTACACATGGGGCATGGTGTGTCATAGGACCAACAGGCAGAGCCCCACATTTCCCCTGCCTTGCCCTTGCTATGGGAGAGGGCTGCCTACCTCATTTCAACCAGTGCTTCCACCCCGTCTTATTCAGCCGCTCCGGGCACCCAAACCGGTGACCTTGGGTGAGTGTCCCAGCCTCCTCCCCAGGCCGCGAGCTGCTCATTAACAGCCCTGCTCGGCCAATCCCCAGCGCTCCCAGGCGCGCTGAGCCGAAGCAGCTGCTGGCAGCCCAAGGCTCTTACTAATCTGGGATTTCTATGACAGGAAGTGCACACCCAGCCAACCTGTCAGAAGACAAAGCCTGCAACATTCGCGCCAGCTCCCCAGCGACATTCCTGTGTGGAGCAGTGGCTATTTCTATTCCTTCTCCAGCTCCAAGCTGGTTGATTTCCAAGGGCTCTATGGTATGGGGCAACCGTGCACCTGCTATTTCTGCCTACCTCCAATCCCAGGAGGATGAATGCAGACAGGGCACCCAAGTAACCCAGAATAGATGGCTCTCCACTGCTGTCGGTGCCTTCTCCTGAGACAGGGTCCTGTATATCTCATCACCAGGCTGCAGGATTTCCCATGGACTCCCTCCCTTACCAGGGAATTGCACTCCAGCATCCCAGCTCTTACTGATACCAAAATACCTTTGGGTCACAAAGAGCCTTGCAAGCATGGCCGTAATTTCCTGAACCTGCAGATAGGCCAAAACAATAATCCCCATTCAGCTGGAGGGGGCGTTTACCCTGGAGCCCAACAATGGTAAATTAGATTGCAGCAGTGTTAAGTTCTTTCCTCACAGATAGCTTTAGCAGGACCAAGGAGGCAGCGCAAGATACCCCATGGTCCCGGCCTGCCTTCCAAGGAGCTAAAGGCCCCAAATTACTTGTAGCCATTTGCTGAAATCACCTGCCAATGTCTCACTGTCAATGCAGGAACCTGCAGTTCCTGGAAGACAGGACATTGAAGGCCAAAGCAAATCATATTGAATTCAGCCTGCATATAAGAAAGAGAGAGGCTTCTGCACAGCTTGCCTTTTGGATCAAAGGCTAAGGCAACAGTCATTAAGCAGGTGAGAAGCGGCTGCGAATGGCAGGCACATCCCACAACTAGTTGGCATCATGGGATCCCCGTGGGGAAAGTGCAGGTGCTTCTGTGCAACTGGCTGCCAAGGCTTATGCAACAAAACATCCCCTCGGGAGCAGGTAAGGGCTGTGAAGTGCAGCAGAGTGGTTCTTTCCTCAGCTTCTGGTGACGAGGCTGTAGTCTGAGCTCAGTCTACACTACAGTGCTGTTGGAGCAGCTCCAGCCAAGGGAGGCAAGTCACGCCGAAGTTACACTAGTCTAGCGTAACAGATTGGATTGTGCAGTCCAGGGAAGTATTAATAGTAATGCCTAGCTCTTCCGTAGCACTCTTCATCATCAAGGGAGACTCGGGATCAATGTCCCCATCTTATAGATGGGGAAGCGGATCCAAGGAGAAGGGTAGTGGTTTCTCCATGGACACCTGGTCAGCCAGTGACAGGGTCAGGAATAGGACCGTGTTCTCTGCTGAGTAGTTAAATGGACAGCTTGTGGCAAGCATTATTCAGCAGACAATTGCACAGCGATCCAGGCAGCAGTGACCAGGTGGGATTCATGGCCACGAGATGTTATCAAAGCCAAGAACTCACTAGGATGGTTATATAGCCAATAAGAATTACCTCCATTATATTAGACAGGGTAAAATTTGAGGAAAGGCAGTGTAGCTGAGTGGACAGAGCATCCGATTAGCATCTAGGAGACCCCCCAGCTCCAGTCCTAGCCAGATGGGTGACTACAGGTAAGTTCTGTCACCTCTCTCTGACTGCTTTCCCATCTGTATTATGGAGCAATTGATACCTACCATCTCTATAGGGTAATTTGAGATCTACACATGGAAAGTGCTTTTCAAGGGCTGGATGCATAAACCAACCCCTGGCTGATGGCAATTAGGAAGAGATTTCTCATCGGACAGGTTATTTCATGGCTGTTTGCTGCAGAAATACATGTAAAGCAGTTGGTATCATCTGGGCTGCAGCTAACTAGAGTGGCTGCGGCCCCTTCTTGTGTGCTTCATCCACCCCCATGAGGCAGGATAGAGACAAACGTGAAACTCAGAGAAGCAGTGATTTGCCTGAGGTCACACTATGGGCTGTGGCCAAACAGGAACTTGACCCTGAGTTTCTCAAATCCTGGTGTAATGCTGGAACCTCTGTTGTGAGCCAAGGTGCCAATTCCTAATGGGTGTTTTACCTTAAACTGTAGGATCTGACCCAAGAAGTTTATAATGAAGCTTGTCCATTGGTTTGGAACATAGTCTGGAGCTTGCATATGTATCTCAGAGGCAAGTGTGTCTGCACTAGTGTCTGAGGGTGACGAGAACATCTGCATCCCAAACAAGGAAGGACAGTTCATTTCATGTTAAGATTCAGCACAGAGTCCATGGTGGTGATGCCCTTCAGGGACAAACTTACCCAAGTTACTCTGAGTTACTCTGATGAATGCCTTGCGCAAGTGAAATCAGAATCTGGCCCGTGTGCTTTACCAGAAGCTGCACGGTCACATGCTGTCCCCACATCCTGTAAAATGTATGTGTTGGCTACAAATGTCCAACTCGGGATCCTTAAAATTCTGGTTTATTAGGCGGAGTGAAACACTGTAATCATAAACCTTGGGGCTGGTCCCCACACACACACACACATACACACAAACAGTAGCAGGCTACAGTCAGGTATACCTATCCTACAAGCGCTGGAGTCTGTCGTTGAGGCTTCTTTCAGCGTGGTGTTATCTTCCAGAAGGGGCTCGCTGGCTGGTCCTTCTGGCTGGACAGGTCTGGTCGAGTTGGAGATCAAGAGGGCGCCGCTGAGGGTCACTTTTCACTGCCTTTTATCTGTCCTTAGCAGACTTTGGTGACTCCCCAGTTTTCAGGTTTGCCCAATCCAGGGGTCATTGACCCTCATGGGACTTCCCCCTCGGTGGCTACTCCCCCCCCCCCCCCCCGGTGGCTACTGGACAGCATCTGTCACCCCAGGGGTTGTCCGCATGTATGTGCAGGTTTGGGAGTCCGTTGATGAATTTTGAATAGGGCTCTGGGAGTGGTCGATCTGGAGATATTCAGCCCAAAAGTTGGTCCCCGGCGTTGATTAACTCAGGCCAGGGCTTCTAGCCCTTGATCAGCGATGCTTAGAGATTTCCCGGTTGTTACATTGTCTTCTATTGAGTTCTTCCCTTGGTTGATCTGCAGCTTCCAAGTGATAATTGCTGTCTGCTACTATGTTACACATTCAATCACGTTACACATTCAATCACTGATTCATTCGCTCTTTCAGGGGCCAGCCTGATACAGAGAAGAGCAGTTTGATTCCTGCCCTTGTTAACATTGTTACAATGTATAACTTACTTATGAAACTAAACACATTTAGTTGAAAGTTGAAAGGTGAGGAGTATAAAATATAAGCTACAAATGCCATGGCACACAAATAGATGAAAATACCAAACTACAAGGGGAGATACAAAATGCACACATACAAATTTTAAAACACAATTCCTTATCTTAAAGTGAAAGAGAGAGGAAGGAAGAAAAGGTAGAAAAAGAGAAACATATCCAAAGAGGGGAGAGCAAATGCAGGCAAGAGGAAAAGGGGGCTTTCTGCTACATATGTTCAGATTTTGGGCTATAAACATGTACATGGAGCTTGAATAAATCTAGGACACTGGAAAACTGTCTGTAAGATGCAGCCTTCTTGCAAATCTGCCCTTCCCCTCCCTTCCTGCCATGCACTGGCAGAGCTAGGTTATCAAAGTGGAGCACTAAAGCCATAACCTATATCTCACTGTAGAGATGGATGGTGACCTTGTCTCGGGGGACACTCAGCCTCATTGTATCCCACATTCCCTATCTAATAAATGAGGACGATAGTATTATTATTATTATTATGATTATATTGCGGTAACCTATAGAAGCCCCATTCACGGATCCAGATCCCACTGGGCCAGGTCCTTTACAGATGAAAAACAGACTCAGCCCAAAAGAACTTGCAGTGTGATATTCCCCCATGTCACCAAGCTGTGGTACTGATATATTCATGATTATGAGGTAGGTGCTCACATGATAAAGCCATCTAGGACAGAATACATTAAATACAGTATGGGGCCAGGTGCTCAGGTGGTGAAAATCAGCATTGATGCATCAGCTTCCATGGAGCTCACTGATTATTTATTATTACTGTGGTCTAATTGCATTCTGGCAGTGTTTAGGAGACCAGTCCCAAACCAGGCCCCCACAGGGTTAGGTCCTGTACAGGCACAGGACAAAAAGACAGTATGTGCCCCAAATTTTCACCACCTGAGAATCTGGCCCAGTATTTTCTAGAAACAATCGTTCTTTCTTCTAGGGCATTCGGACTGAAATAGAACTTTTCCTAGCCATTCAGACTGGCCCCAGGAGCCCTTATCCTTGGTTGACAGTATCACTGCCAGTTGCTGTGCAATTGATTGTAATTTAACCAACAAAGGGTTCTTAGGACTCCAGATGGAGAGGAAAAAATAGCATGTGTGCTTTTAAGGAACAAAGATCCTGTTTTTAGGGAACGCTTTCATGTTGCGCTGGGAATGAGAGGGCAATTCAGATTGGAGACAAGCTGCAAAACTCAAC